CCTTCGGATTTTTTGCATTCAATCCTTGCCATATTGTAGGCAAACCGAATCCGCTTTATGTTTCATAACTTCTTACCAAAACTTAATTAAATTAACTTTTATATGTTTTTTGCAACGACTTAGCCGACTTTTGCATAACATACGAGTTTGATAAAACAATTTCAAATTTCAAAATAGCCGTTAAAATTTTGAACGTTGCTTCATGTAACGTAACTGGATTTTAGTTTTTGAGTTTCTGGATCTTCGTTTTTGGGATTGGATATGACTTTAGAGTTACTGTATCTTTGTTATTGGTGTTGGATATGACATTAGAGTTACTGGATCTTTGTTTTTGGTGTTAGACATTACATTGAAGTTACGGGATCTTTGTTGATGGTGTTGGATATGAGTTTTGAGTTACTGGATCTTAGTTATAGGTGTTGGATATGACATTAGAGTTACTGGATCTTTGTTGATGGTGTTGAATATGAGTTTAGAGTTACTGGATCTTAGTTTTTGGGATTGGAAATGAGTTTTGAGTTACTGGATCTTAGTTTTTGGGATTGGATATGACTCTAGAGTTACTGTATCTTTGTTATTGGTGTTGGATATGACATTAGAGTTACTGGATCTTTGTTTTTGGTGTTAGACATGACATTGAAGTTATGGGATCTTTGTTGATGGTGTTGGATATGAGTTTTGAGTTACTGGATCCTAGTTTTTGGTGTTGGATATGACATTAGAGTAACTGGATCTTTGTTAATGGTGTTGGATATGAGTTTTAAGTTACTGGATCTTAGTTTTTGGGATTGGAAATGAGTTTTGAGTTACTGGATCTTAGTTTTTGGGATTGGATATGACTCTAGAGTTACTGTATCTTTGTTATTGGTGTTGGATATGACATTAGAGTTACTGGATCTTTGTTTTTGGTGTTAGACATGACATTGAAGTTACGGGATCTTTGTTGATGGTGTTGGATATGAGTTTTGAGTTACTGGATCTTAGTTATAGGTGTTGGATATGACATTAGAGTTACTGGATCTTTGTTGATGGTGTTGAATATGAGTTTAGAGTTACTGGATCTTAGTTTTTGGGATTGGAAATGAGTTTTGAGTTACTGGATCTTAGTTTTTGGTGTTAGACATGACATTGAAGTTATGGGATCTTTGTTGATGGTGTTGGATATGAGTTTTGAGTTACTGGATCCTAGTTTTTGGTGTTGGATATGACATTAGAGTTACTAGTTCTTTATTTTTAATGATGGATGTGAATGTAAAGCTACTGGATCTTTGTTTTAGGGGTTGACTATGACTGTAGAGCTACTGAATTTATGTTTTTGATACGGGACATGTTTTAAATGCTACCAGATCTTTAAAATAAAAATCTGGAACGAACTATTAAAGATCTGGTACGAAAAATTAAGGCCCTCAAACGATTTTGAGTTACAACTAAGTTTACTGATCAGTAAGAGGAAAATACGCTGAAGTCGCCCAGATCCAAAGTACTGGCGATCTTTTTACTAGTTAAATCATAAATACAATTAGAGTGTGGGTTTTTTGCAGTTGTTGGGGCGTAGACGCTAGGGTTAAGCTAGAGTTGAATTATTTGAAGTTAATGTGAATCTAGTGTAGATTCATTTTGATAAAGAACTCGGACTAGGGGCTTTTTATAATCTAAATAAGCTTGTGGTAGGTGCTAATCATTCATGTTTAGATCATTATTGTCAGTAATGCTCCCTACAATAGCCCTGTTTAAGCTACTGTAGTTGACGGTAAATAATATGGATCTCGAAATGTAATGTATCCTTTCTTAGAATTTTTTTAAATTTATTTGACACAATATGCTAAGTTTGGATGTTCCAAGTTAGAACATACTAGGTTTTAAACATACTAAGTTTCGAATATACTAGGTTTCGAACAAACTAGGTTTGGAATTAAATAGGTTTGTAATTGACTAGGTTTTGAACATACTAGGTTTCGAACATACTAGGTTTCGAATATACTAGGTTTCGAATATACTAGGTGTCAAACATACTAGGTTCATATCTATTTTTAAAGCCACTTATCTTAAATACTATTAAAAACTATAGTCCATAGCAATAATCTCAAGCTAGTAAATCACACAAAAAAGTCCAAACCCTGATAAACTTCAATTATTTTCCTTCACTTAATCTTCCTCTTTAAATCATAATTACCCTAAAGAGTAGGTAAAAGAGTTGAACATTTTTCGCAGACTAAATATAAAAGTAAGTAATATATTTCTCTTTTTCGCTTTGTGTGCGAGTACTTTCCACACGATTAATTTTTATTTTTATGAATGTACTTCTCATCGTGCTTTATATTATTTTTTTTTGAAGTATATTTTATTATGAATGAAACGATTTGTTTAGAGATCATTCTTATGAACGTAAATTTCATCATTGCAGTTTAATGTTAGGGTTTTTTTTTGAAAGACGTTTCTCTGTTACATGCCTTTTTTATGTTATGACTCGTAATATTGGATATAATATTGTGTGACAAGGAGTGGAAGGTCATTGGCTGTCAAACAGAAATAGAATATTGTGATGATTGAAATTATTCAATTTTTTTCTGGTTTTCTTCAATAAGTTTTTTTGCTGCTGCTATTCCTTATGGCAGTTCCTCAAAGATGAAAATTTGCAGCTCATAAAAGAACATTTTTCCATCCAGAACCCGTTCTGTAAAATTATTGTGTAGACTTGTGTGAGTGTGCAGCACTTCCTTCCAGAGTACGCGCCGCAATGTGTGAGAGAGACAGAGCGAGAGCGAAGAGAAAAAAAAGGTGAAAAAATAAAAATGAAATAAAAAATTATGTTTATGTTTTATATTACGGCAATGAAAGAGATAGAAATTTTATAACATATAAATGTTGTTCAATCTCACTAAAAATTGTTATGCAAGTTTAATGTATGCGATAGAGAGAGAATGATAATCATCATGTCTGGCTGTGTGTGCGAGAGTGAGACGACTATATGAATTCTTTTTTTTTATTTTACGATATATAAATGTGTGAAGAAATGAAGTAAAGTGAAATGGATTCAGGAAATATGGGAATGTTTTTTACGATGTATTTGTATGAATGAAAATGAAAGAGTAGAGAGCATAAAATGTCTTTACATGACTATTTTCTATATGAAAATAATTTTTTTAAGTATTCAAGCAAATAGTTTTATGATGTGCAATCACTATTATTAATTATATTATTCTGATTAATTGAATATCACATAAAATTTATGTTCAAAATGATAAAAAAATTTGTTCCTGCAAAAAATTATTATTATATATTTTTTACTGATTTTAACATAAAAATCCCAAATGTAATTGTAAAACAAGTACCGAAAAAAAAAGAATGAATAAAAAATTTTATTTTTATCAACATTGACTGTTTATGGCTCATTTTGATTATTTCAATGATAATACCTTTCTTTATCCTCGCTGGTAAAAAAGAATCGGTTTGATGGGGTGCATTTGCTTATGATGTTTATTATATTTTTGTAGAGTTTTAAGGACCTGCTGCTCATATTTGTCTTGAAAAATTGAGTTTAGTTTAATTTTAATTTTCATAAATAAGGGGTTCAGCTTATCGAAGAGTTAATTTTATTAATATCTTAAATATTAATTAACTTAATTTTAAGCTGTTTGTGATCTAGGCTAAAGCTTTGGCAACAGAGACTCTCCCAGTAGTAGGCTGGTAGGTAAAGGACAATCTGTTCTAGAATAAAGTTATATAAAATCATGGAAGATGCAAGATTTCTTATGAAACGTAAGGCATCCTTGCCTTTCATTTCCTTAAAAGGTTACAAAATGATTTCAGTTGGATGTCAGAAGCCTTCACCACTCTCTTCTGAGCTTACATGTTAAGGAACTGTGAACTTTGCTGGAGCTTATAAGCCCCGCAACCAAATTATTGCATCCCTTAACCAAGAGTTTACACCTTTTTATATTAGATTCTTTTCTGGGGTATGTCTTAGTATGTAAAGTACCCCAAAAAATCCTAGTTTGCCTCCTTATTTACCTACGTACTTTACTGGCCAAACAGATCAATTGTGATACATTGCCTCTCTTGGAAGGAGCCTGTAACTGGATCTATCGTTGGCTCGCGTTTGGCAATTACCAATACCAATGCAATACCGTCTCTGTCAACAGCTTAGGTTGTTCACGTATTCTTTTACCATCTACAAAATCATTCTTAATGGCTAGTGTGCCCAGTTTTATTTCTTACATTATCTAAGTATACCTCCTTAGTCTTATATCCTTAGAACTTTTAATTCTGCTTTGGGTTGATGTTAAGAAACCAGCTCCTGATCCAATTTCCTTGTTACATTAAATAAAGGTATCCCTAGTTTTCAAACATCATAAGTGAATGACTCCATCTCATTCAAAAATCCACGTCGCGCGGCATTTTTATTCAACAATAACAATAGCAATATGGAGCATCAAGCAGTAATAATAATATTAAAAACCGTATGAGATATAAATTGATTTGACGCTCAATGGTTCCTTATTGTTACATTCAATTGACTGATAAGACAGAAGAAAACTACCTTTCATGTAGAAGAAGTAAGAAGTAAGCAGTACTTGCAACCGCGCGCGCGAGAGAACAAGAGTATGATATGAAATGAAGCACAAGCTACAAATACAATTGTAGGGCGAGCAAAAATTCTATTTGTATGAGTGAAGAAAGACAGAAAACAAGTCGTCGCGCAAGCAAAAATCCATTTCAAATGCTCTCTCGCTCATCCATAGTAACAATATTCATCTCCCTCAATCGCATGTAAAATGATTTTATGTGGAAGCGAGATAAATGTAATGGAATTCATATAAGAGTTTTTATCATCATACAAATGCTCGAAAAATTGTTGTATGTAATAAAAAATACTATATAGACGTACTATTATTTTTTGTTGATATAAAAATATTATTCTTCTTATTTGTTTTGTGTACACAACACACATTATCATACAATTTCTGTTCCTTTTGCCTTCGAAAAAAGAAAAAAATTTCATTCTTTGCTAGCGTTTGGCATTCATACATTTACGTAAAGTAGCAGCGTAGCGACTCTCTTTCTCTTACACTCTTAAAAGTAAAGCTAAGGAAATTTTTTTTATATTGATATTTTTTTTCGCCTTTCTGCTGCATGGTATAATAATATTGTGTGTTATGATCGTATCATAAACGAACTACTTGTCATAACGCTAACATCTATTCGGACTAATAAATACGTATTTTTTATATTTAAAAGAGGAAAAAAAAGTATTCTTATTATATAGCAGTAATTTTTATTATGTTAAAATTACCAATTTTTTTCTCTCTCATCGTGAAAGTGAATAAAGAATAAAAGATTTTTTTTTGGTCTATTTTATTATATCACGAGTGTCATCCGGTAAATGAGCGATGAAATTTCGAGTGCCGCGACATAAAATAAAATAAAAAAATTGCATGTGATAATAAAGAAAAAGTGCAAAAAAGAAAATATCAGAAAAATATTCAAATTAATTCAGTACGTAATTTTTGGTCGTCGAACAATAAAACAAAAGATTATATACAATAAAAATAAATAAATAGCAAGTACATATACATAACATAAAAGATAATAATAGAAGGTAGTAAAAATAAAGGAAATATTTTTTTATGTTGCATCATAAGAAGGATTTTTTGAGAAGAAAGGATTGACCACAGGGACAATACAAAAGGAACATAAAGAAGAAGAGAAAGTTTTGTTGCAATGAGATAAAAAAAAAAATTAAAGAAAAAAATAAATTGCAAGTGAAAGTTACGCAAGAAAATAAATATTTTACAACTCTTTTTTAAAACACATTTTGGTCACACAGTGCATATTAAGAATAAGAAAAAAGATATTTTTAGTGTGTGAGGAATCGAGCAAAAAGCGATAAAATTTGTGACATTCATCTGATAAAGTAAGTAGACTTGAATTTTCTTTTTATTATTTTTTGAGGGCTTTGGAATAAATTTTAAAATTGAATTTTCTCGGCGGTTTATTTAACTTGATTGATTATTGCGGTTTATTGTGGAAGAACTGAGAGAAGCTGAGTGAGAAATTGCAAAGATTTAATTTTAATTGTAAACTTTTTGAAGATTTCTTGAAGTCTATTAAAATATAAGTTAATTTCAACATTCATGAAACTTAGTGTGATTCAAACTTTGATTATTAAAACATCGCGTAATTTGTTTGATTAATTAACCATCAAAATGTAAATAATCTTACAAAGTTTCAAAAAATATCTTTTTAATCAACTTTTCAAAAAGACTTATTCAATGTAAACTAGAAAGTTCGGTGTGCTGAAAGTTATGAAAAGATGAATCAATATTTTTTTTCTTCAATTTTTGTTTGATTTATAAACAACGCCGGCTTTTCTTCAAGTTTAAATTATTTACTTTTGAATGAATTGATTGATTGAGCAGCTTTTTATTTTTTGAAGAGCGGTTTCAAATTCTCCGATGATTAGCTTTGAAAATGAATCATTCTAAAAGGGTTTCGATCAAGATTAATGATTTATCAAATTAAAAAGAAAACATTCGAGTTTGAAAAAACAACATTTTACAGATCTAACCTTCTGATGGTAAAGGTTTATTAGCATTATTAATTAAGAATACGCTAATAAGATACTAGCTCTAAATGTTTTGCAGCTAATATAATCTAACTTGTCAAGCTTTCAATCAAAAGTCAAATTAGATAAATTTATATTATTAAATCAGATTTTTTTTCAATTACAACAACTCAAATGCTTTGAAAAAATTAAATTTCATTCTGAATTATTTGAAGTTTTTAAAGGAAAACTAATCTAGATAGAAGTGTTATTAAGATAATGCTAGATATCAAAAGAAGTTTCATTAAAAGTCAATAAATTTGAAACAGATTTTAAAATCTTTTATCTTATCAACAAATGCCTATAAATTTGATTTTTGTATTTAGAATTTAAAGAAACTGTATTTGCGAATTATGTTGCTGCAATGATTCTTAGCTGCTAGAATCTTTTAAGATTTGACAAATTTTATCAACAATTTAAATTTTTATGATTTTTGGAAAAAGATTCGAAATTTGAAAAAAGATTAGTCTTTAAAGTAAGTTTTAATAAAGCTTTAAGTTATTCTCAGTTTATAAAACTTTGCTTTAAGCTTTAATAAATCTAACTTTTTGTGTTGCTGATTATAGCTTACCATTACTAATCAAACAATTATCATGTAAATAGATTATGAAATAATAAAAAAATAATTTTTTTAAAGACGATATTTTGAATTTTCCAAGATTCAAAACTTAGTAATCATTGATATTAAAATTACTAAAGTAATAATCGATTAAACATCAATAATTTTTGCACTGAATAAAAATAAAAAGTTTCATCTGATAATAAAAATGTGTAAACAAAATCGTAAGTGATTATGAATTAGAAATCAACTATGATTCATCTGAATTCAATTCAATCAACTTCAACCTTAGCGATTCTCACAAGAAAATTACATTTTAAAATTATTCCAAAATCCAAAAGCCTGAAATATTATTACACATAAAATTAACCGATACTAATTGTGGCACATTGAAGAACTAACCAAAAAATATATATATTTTCCTCATATTCCCTTTTTCTCAGCCTCATTCTCACTAATAAAAAGAAAAAAATAAAAAATTAACTTAAAAAACAATGTCTAACGTGGCTATGTCATCCAAATTCATAATAGATAGCATGTTACCGAAATATGCAAGTCAATTTCAACCATTTCTGAATTCCCATCTGTCAAGTAATAGTAATAATAATAATAGTAATAATAATCAAACATCAAATTCAAATCCAAATTCAAATTCAACAGTGTCACAAACCCCTAATAATTCCGAAGGTAGTCCATTAACTGGTAGTGAAGAAGGTAGTTCACCACCATCTAGTAAAATGTATCCATTTGTATCAAATCATCCATCGACACACGCGAGTTATTCAACGATGCCTGGATTTTCCGGCTTAGATGATAAATCATGCGGGTAATGCAAAAAAAAACTTAAATATTTTTTTCTTTCTTAATGCACAAAAGTCTCTGACCTACTTTTGAGTGTTTTGTACAAAAAAATTAAAATTTTTTAGACGAAAAATAAAAATGGTGTTATCTTTGACTTTCTAGTGGTATGACATACCTAACTGCCGTCGGAAAATTTTCTTTCTCATTGCATGACAAAGTTTTTCCGTTCGCTACCATATGTACGTATAAAAGTGCCGTTGGCTCCATTCGATTGAGCTTAAGACATTTTTACGTATGAAAATGTACTTACCTTCCGAATTTTTTTCTGTAGATTTAAGATTCCCTCATATTGGAGTATGGAAATAAATAAGAAGTAAGCCTTTTTTTTCTCTATAATAAGCTGACAAAATAGCTATCTATACCTCGAATATTTGAGAGTGAGCTGAATTGTTCATAAATTATGGTTATAATGTGCTTTCTTATTTCTTTATCACTTGATACTTCTGACTCCTCTTTTACTCTCTCTTTTTTTTTCTTTCTCACTCCTTCACTCACGTTCTTATAAGTAGGAATATAATATCTATGTGGTGTGTAATATACGCGGTGTGTGCGCGCGGAGAGATAAAAGATAACGCCATTTTACATAAATTTTTAAGCCTTAGCCCTCGATTTTCTTTTTCAACATTCAGAACAATCTCTTATTTTTTGTATGTATGTATCCATTAATAAGAACGTGTTCTCATGAAAATCGAAGGTTAAGTGAATAAATTAAAAAATTTTTATTCTAATAATTCTCAAATTTCTTCCATCCCAGGCGATACACAGAAAGCGTCATGAATAGCTATCCGTCAATGGGCAGTGCCTCGAGCATTGCTCAATTCTATCATCAAGCAGCCGCAGTATCTGCAGCCGGTGCAGTCGGTATGGATTCACTTGGCAGTGCATGCTCACAATTATCATCCGGTGGCTTATCGTCCGTTGGCACAGGACAAGCATTATCAGAAATTACACGACATCCATGGCTTGTACCTACTGGTGAGTATAATAAGTTAATTAACAAATTTGTTTTCTTATTTGCGCAATGTGCGTGGACTATTGGAAAGGCAGTAAAAAATAGCTTTTAAGGAAATTATCGTAAATTGTTTGGTCAAATCGATCGATTCGGTTGTACACGAACGTCCCTGAACTTGCGTCATCTTCTGTGTGATGGCTGGCTATGCTTGACTGTTTCTAGAAAGATAAAAAAAAAATATTCATTCTCAACGACCTCGACCGAAATGACTCACTAGTCACCCTTTTTATGATGCCATAAAAAATACACTCACTCAATAATTGGTGTACAAGCCTCGAGTAATATAAATATCGACAAATTCTCATTTCCAATTAAATCATAAACGCAGCCAGTTGGAAAAATGCTTAATTACTATTTAAGTAATATTTGATCACATGTAGACATTTGCTTTTCAAAAAAAAGAGTTTTTATTTCCTTTTTTTACGTGATATTTTTACTACTATTTTGACTATGACTTTTATGACTATGCGAGGCTTTTATTACCATGATATGGCCTATAATTCTAAACAGAATACAAAAGAGATATTTCATTCATTGCATAATAAATTGTTACGTTGGTTCTGGTAGTGGGTTATCTATGGAACTTCTTTATTTTTGGAGAATGTTTTGTTTCTTGCCGGATTTTTTGAAGAATTTTATATGCTAAATGTCCTTGGGGATTATTTTGTCAGGAATTTTTGATTATATTTTAAGGAGGTCTGTTTGGTTTTTAAAGGTTATTTGAGGTTTTTCCAGAGACCACAAATAAGAATCAATGCTTAACTAAGGGCTCGTTCACTTATTACGTAACGCAAAAAAACGAGTTTTTAGACCCCCCCTCCCCCCCTGTAACAAAGCGTAACAAAATCTTAGACCCCCCCCCCCCCCCCATAACGTAACAATAATTTTTTTCATTTAAATTGTTTATCAAATGTTTATTATACTTCCTTTAAGTATGTAAAATAAACAGTTTTACTTATAACTAAAAAGCAGAGATCGAAGCCGATTTTTTCGGCTTAACTCAATTTTTGATTTTTTTGATAGAAAAAAGCCATTTAACACCCATTTCAAGTATTTAAATTGAACTTTATGTGCTTTACTATGATTCTGTGTAACATTTTGTCAGCATGTAGCTATAGGAAGCTCAGAATTTCAAGTTAGCCGATTTTAAGCCGATCGGCTTAAATTTCGGCTTAAAATCGGCTTAACCTTAGGTTGAAAATAAAATAAGATCACACTTTTAGCAAATCAGGATTTTAAAAGTTTTCTTGTGACAACTAGAAATGTAACATAAGTTTTTTTCAAAATATTGTGATTAAGTCCAAGAACACAATGACTCGAAAAGCGTGGGGCTTTGAGATTTGACGCTTCTCTTACTTAAGAACTTAGTTGAACTAAGAAATGCATCCTTAAATTACGCCCCACGCTTATAGAGTCATTGTGTTCTTGGACTTAATCAGAATATTTTGAAAAAAATTTATGTTACATTTCTAGTTGTCACAAGAAAACTTTTAAAATCCTGATTTGCTAAAAGTGTGATCTTATTTTATTTTCAACCTTTTGGTTTTTAGTCTTTTTGATAAAAGCGTGTTTTTTAAAAAGTTTTTTTAACGTTTTTTTATTTGCTCCTGTTTTGGTCGCTTGGTTTTTAGTCTAAACAACAGATTTAACTTCAAGAAAAAATGTTATTTGTTTTTTAAGTCTTTGGGAAAAAGCGTGTTTTTTAAAAAGTTTTTTTAACATTTTTTTTATTTGCTACTTTTTAGTCTCAATCTTTCAATCGAATATCGACCACAGCAATTCAAATTCAACTCCACTTCGTTTTACTCCGTTTCGTTCAACTGTTTATAGATTACATTTGTTCATTCATTTGTTTTATAGAATTTAAGTCATACCTGGAAACAGATGAAACTTCTTAAAAAATATCCTGAACTTCAATTATGTGCGCTTTCTGTGCTTTTAAAACATTCATTAGTAAAGGACATTAAAAATGAATCTTGGAGATTTTGTGTTTATATACAAATATACTTCAAGCCGTTAATAAATAGAAAAGTAAATTTAATTAAGTTGGTGAAGTTTTATAAATAATGTAATACATTAAAAACAGCATAAATATATGCTCAAACTATGTGTGCTAAATGCATATCTCATATGAATAGTTATTTTGCATTAATTCGTAACGGACTTGTGCTACACGGTTTTTTTGAAAATTCAAATTTTCACTTACGAATATTCATGAAAAAATTACATGTCAATTTTTTTGTCTTACCGGAATATCTTTAGCTGCTCAAATTTATAGTGTAATTAATATTTAGTAATATTAATTAAACTATAATGAATCACATAAATGACTTTTGAGCATTTCAAGTATAATATTTTAAACAAATCAAAATTTTATATCATTGACATTGGATTGTTTTCCCATATAAAAAAGTTTTACTTAAATTTTACTATAATTAAGCATTTTTGTGGTTTCAAAATGTTAAAATATTGTATTGTCACCGGGAATACGTGTGAATAAAAAATTTGAGCTCGATTGGAGCAGCAGAAGTGGTCGAAAAATCGATTGCAAGTTTTGAACGTGACAAAGAAACCAACAGACAGAGCAACTCAATAAAAAGCATGTAACATGTAATAATAATAATAATAATAATAATAAAAAAAAATTGAGTTAAGCCGAAAAATAAATCGGCTTCGATCTCTGCTAAAAAGTTCTTAAGTTAAAATTTAACGTTAAAAAAATTTAAAATTAATATAGAAAAAATTTTAAAAAAATATATTTTTTGAAAAGTTACGTAACAAAATTTAGACCCCCCCCCCTCCCCCTGTAACAAACCGTAACAAAATCTTAGACCCCCCCTCCCCCCCTAGTGCGTTACGTAATAAGTGAACGAACCCTAAGCTGGTTATGAAAAAAATCGATGCAAATATTTAATAGAGCTGATAATAAGCCAGTATCAAGTCTAGTTAAGAGTCTTTCTAGCTAAAAGTCTAAAGACTAGATTTATTATAAAAAAAAAATGCATTTAAGCCTCAAAACAGACGCAGAACCTTAAACTAGCGGATAATCATCCCCCCACAAAATTCACAATCCATTCTATATCCAAAAAACTCAAACATAGCTTCCAAAACTCCAATAAGACTCCACAGCTGATTCTCTCAAAATTCCTTCAAAGGGTCAATGAAAAATTATTCAATCTGTTAAGCTTAAATAGAAGAAGAAAACATATTTTGCTCTACTATATTTTGATTATTATCTATTTAATCTCTCATTTTTCTCAGTTATATTCGCATTCATTTACGACACATAAAAACAGCATTTATATACAGTATAAAAAAATATTTTGTGGATGGTAGACAAAATCATGGATAGACGATAAAAAAAGTGAATATATATTGTCTCGATTACGTCATATAAGAGCGAATGATGCCGAATGTAAAGGCCCCTGGGCAAATAGAGATAGAGAGTGCGATTTTCATTTAATGTCCATTAACATGACATATACACAAATGTGTATGTCCGCGACAAAACGAATCACACAAAAAACATTTCATTTTCATTCATGAAATTTTTTTTTTGTAGATATGCCAGCCTAATTTTGATTTATTTTAGTTTAACTTTACCTTTATGTCGATCGCATATGAAGTCGATGTCGTCGATGACAAATATATCATTGCTTCTATCGACTATTCTGTGCACGCGCGACGAGTGAAGAATTTCTTTTTAAGCATGACTTTTTTGGTGTGAATAAATTTCAATCTTTTATATTTTTTCATGCTTCAGCCTCAAGGTTAATGGATGTGAAGAAACAGTTGTGTAGTGAGGGATGTTAGGATGAGGAGTTATTGATGTGTTTTTATTGTTTATTGAGGTCTTCCGTTTAAGGCTTCTTATGATATACTGTGATTTTATGTTTAGGTACACTTTGGAGCTTACCCAAGCTATAAACACTAGTATCATCAGTTATGTTATGACTCTCAGGTTCACTTTAGCTTATTCTCTTGGGTGGCTTGAAATCACTAAAGAAACTAGCACTTGAACCTTTTTGTGTAATATTTTGTGTCTTTTTACACATGAGAACCTATGACTGAGCTCCCACCTACCTTATTTACCCACTCTAATAGATGTGAAGCTAGAATTCTGCTTTTGAATCCCTAATCCACTCAAAATTTGAAAGTTCCTTAATTTCGTAAAGATTTATAAGAGAAAAATCTGAATATCCCCTTCAAAAAAATTCCTCCCTCCACCCCTGAGCTGGAAAGAGAGTCGAACACAAATCTTTGTCATGAACTTATTTTATTTTAATTTTATTTTTATTTATTCCTGATTATATTGCACGAATATGAGAAAAATATAAAAATAAATTCACAGTGGTTCTCAAAATGTTTTTCTTATTCACGTATCGAGAAAAAAAAACGAGTTTTTTTTCTACCTTTAAGAGTAACGGCCATTGTTATGGCATCGACAAAATTGAAATCTTCATTTCATCACATGTGCGGGAAAAGCACGGCAATATTCTAAATAATAAAATGGCGTAAAAATTCTAATATCTTATGGTGCGTTAAAATGGATTAAAATTTATATATTTTTTTTTGTTATCTTTTACGGCTTCTTTTTCGAGCCTTAATTGAGAAATTCCTTTAATTTAATGCTGTAAAATTCGATAATGTTTATTAAGTAAAATTAAATCTGTTATCATATTTATTAATTGTGATATTAAAGTGAACTTCTTTTATGTCCAAAATTCATTAACAAGAAAAAAATAGGGAGGCTTCATTGAGATAACAGATTGGCAATTAAATATATTTTTCTAAAAAATAGTATCCTTCATTAGCTGTCTATATTTGTGAATATTCACATAAAATTTATTTTCATGAGCCACAAAGAAAATGCTGTGAATATTATTATTGTAGGCTGTAGAATATCTTTATGGAGTACCGGCAGAAATTTTTATTGGATAAGTAAAAATAAAGACGCAAATAAAATGATAGTCGAATGGGGTCATGGACTTGCTTTTTGTCTTTAATGAAAGAAAAAGTTCGTAAAAATATGTGAATGAATTTATTGGAATTTTAAGAAGTGGGGACTATTTGCTGCGATGAGGGGGTCTGATATGATTGGAATTAATTTCAGGGGAGCTTAGAATTGAACTTTTTGAGAGTTTTGAGTGTTAAATTATTTTTTGATTTTTTTTAAAATTTTATAAAAATTATTTGACAAAAAAAAATAAAAAATTTTAATTTTGTACGATTTAAATTATTTAAAAAAAAAATCCAGCAATAAATGCAGCATAAAATCTCCACAAAACCAAAGCATAATTTTATGTCCACTCAAATCACTCGAAAATTCAACACGCATTAAAAATTCACCACAAAAGCAAACAATTTCCTTCCAAAAAAGAATTTATGTATATGCATTTTTTATGTTCTAATTATATTTTATGACCACATCTATAAAACAAAGTGTCACTGCCTTGTATTCAAATTGATTTAAGCAAAAGAGAAGACAAGAAAAATTTTATAACCTCAAAAAATTCTCTTTTTTCTGTTTTTATTTCATTTGAGTTGCTTAAAAATTCAAAAAGAATCAAACAATGAGGAATGGAAAATAAATACACTATTTAAGACCTAGTTAAGATAGAAGTAAAAGAGGAAGAAAAATTATTTTTAAAATGAAAATAATAAAAATTAATAGAATTTACCACACGCAATTAATTTTAAAGAGCACTTAAAACAGTGATTAATTAGAAACAATGATAAATGCTTTGTAGAACAAGAGGTATAGACACTATTTCACAGTATGATTTTTATGAGTCCACTCTCTTGTTGCGTTTTGTCAACAGAACAAAAAAAAATATTTTTAAATTGTAGCAAATGACTCAAAAGTATGTGAGTTTATGGCTAGAAATGGTAATTTTGAAGGCCATTATGATGTTACAATGATTGAAAATTGTAAAGTTATTGGCTATATAGTTACATAATGACTGAATAGTAATATAGTTAAAAGGCTATTAAGCTAACATTGTATTTTATTCTAGTTCATAAAATTCACATCATTTGAAATGTCATAAAAATCATAGTGCTGGAGAAAATTATTTATGGAAATTCAATTTTGAAATTCTTGGTGGAATTGATGCGTGTTTTTGCGAGTCTTGAAGGTTTAAATGGATGTTGGAGTAAAATAATAGTAAGTTTTGTGAAAGGGTTGGGGTGTGGGTGGGTATTTTAAAGTGCTAGACACCTCGAATTTTCCCAAAGAAAAAACAAATCAATCTTCGCATTAGAATTTTGTTTAATATTTTAATAGAAATCGAACCCTGATTTTCTATTTGTATTTTTATTTTTATTTTTATTGAAAATGCTTAATTGATGTTTGGCTACTGGATCATATATTTTGAACGATTAATCCAGAAAATCTTTTGTGGTCCGGCCATAGTCATATCCAGCTTGTTTTATAAATTTTGATAGAATTTAATACCACCCAAAAATTTGAAAATAAAAAAATGTTTTTCAAAAGTCAATTAAGGTGAATTTAAAATTCAAAGCAATTCCAAGAATTATTTTCTAAACTCGGAAAGCCCACAACTGTGTGTGCATTCAAAAAAAAAAATATTTAATAATTCATTCATACGTTCATTCGATTTGAAAAATCTAAGAAAAAAAAATATTTAATTAAAACAATTCATGAAGTAACGAACAAACTTGTCAGAAAGAAGCAGAGGAAGCAAACTAAAAGATATTTTTTTTTTTCTTTCGAAAAACATGAAAATAAATTAACTGATTTATTATTTTTTTTGTGTTATAAGAAGAGGAACAGCACCGAGAATGCAGATTAAATTTGAAGAGAAAGAATTTCGTAATAAACAATTCAAAAACATATAAATCAACAAACCAGACATTTGCTTATTCAGCATCATTGAAAAATATTCATAAATACATACACATACATCCATATGAAGCACCGAGTTGATACGTGCACATACTTATTCGTGAAATATCACCCAAGAGTTGATGATGATGAATATGTAATAGTATAATAATTTAAAATTGTTATGATAGCAATGAAAATTAATTAAAATTAAAAATAATTGCTAATCGTGCCTTATCTCAATTCAGCTGTGTTTATAAGCATTTTATATTCATCAAATTCTTTTTTTTTCATGTGCTTCTCTTTCTTACTTGCTGACTTACTTAACGTACCTCTTATGAATTATATTCTGTTCAGTATACACACTTCTTTGTTGCTACAATGTTATCGTCAACGTCATCATCATAATCATTTCTCATAGTGATTTTTTTTAAGTTTTGCGATGGAAGATGAAAATGTTAATCGTAAGGTAGTGAGGAAGTGGGTTTTGGATTTGAAGTTTTTGAGGTATGATGACTTTTATGAGAAGGAATGGTGCAGTTATGGGGTTGATAGGGGTCCTGTAGACTTAAAATTAAGGGTGAAGTGCAGACTCGAGAATTCTGCAGAATTCTGGAAATAGTTGGGCAGAATAATTCTGCAGAATTCTCGAGTTTGCCAGATGCTCCGGAATCAAAATCAACTAATCATCCTTTATTTATTTGAAAAAAAAAACTTTTAAATTTTTAATTATATTTTTAAGATTTTCTTCCTTCAACAACTAGTTTTGAAGTATATTTTTGACGTGTTACTTAAAAATTACATTTTGCCAACTTAATCATTATCTATATATAGCTAGACTGCTAAGAATAATAGTTATAAACACTAGTTTAGGGTTCAAATCCCAATTAATGTATTTTGATTTTTGTATTCTTGTTTGCTCATATTTATTTTTTTGCCAAATAAGCCTTAAACAGTCAAAAGACAATTCATCTATCACCAAACAGTTCAAATTATCACTCATTCTACTTTAGTAAACTAACAAGACATCTAAAATAAAATTTAAAAGCTAGTCAAAATGACATTCTTTCCAATATAAAAATCACACTGCCAAAATACAAAATCATAAACAATTTATGCACATTGCCTTTAATTATATGATTGAATAAATGAATTTATTTTATTTTTATTTATCATGACAAGAAAATTAATTTAACATATAAAAAAATTCTTATTCTCATTTCATGTTCGCCATCATCATTTTTAGACTGGATGAGTAATCCCTTCGATCGAGTTGTGTGTGGAGATTTTTCAGGTAAGAAAAAATGAAACTACTTTTTATTATTATTGATCGTAAAAAGAAAGCAGCATTAAAATCGATCTTAATGTGATAGTTGTGTGCTGTCAACAAACAATAAAATGAGAATTTTTGTTCATTTTTAAGAGGGTTCTCAAGTATGTACCTTAAATACTATTGCTGCTATTATTGCTGTTTTCCACTATGAAAAAAATATAAAAATTTTCTACGGTGTTTAAAAAGAAATGGATGTTATAGATTCTCAAACGAAAAAATACCGTCGGACGGTCAGAAAAAAATAATATAATATAATATAAAAGAAAAGTTATGATCATCATCTACACATGGATAAAATCGATAAATGAGGGTCTTGGAGTGAAAATTTGTTCGAACCTCTTTTTTATGACTCTCAACTGCTTTTTGAGAATGTGTTTTTTACTGCGGGATGTGACCTTCGATATGTGTTCGATGGATAATTACTTATTTAAGACATTTTACCCTTTGAGTTTGCTGATTCGATATGGATATTGTTTTGGATGACTTCATAGGGGGGCATAATGTAAAGTTGTGAATTGTTATGCAATTTAAAGATTTTTAAGCAGTTTCTAATATTTTTGAGGGATTTGTTCTGCAACAATTTGCAGTCTGGTGGTGTCGTTTGGTGAGTAAGGTTAAAAAGGTGGTTCTTAAGACATTTGTAGGCGCCATTACAGGGGTTCACAATTTAGGGACCTCCAATATTGGATTTGATTTTAATTTTTACTGTTACGATGCTATCTGCTAGTTATGTATTAGACCAATACATCGGGATATAATACCAAAATCTGCTGGTTCGCAATGATATTTCAATTTTTTCATATCATATGCATCTAATAAATTTATACTAAGATATTACCATCTTTTATGGAAATTGGTAATTAATGAGTCAACAATAAATATATTCCTGGAATTTTTGAAGACGATTTTAAATATTTTTTTTGGAGTATGCAAAAATATGCAGAATTTTTTAAAGAATTTCTTTGACAGCTATAAATAGTATTTCTTAATTTTCTGATGGGTTTAATGGGCTGTGATATTTTAATTCTTGGAATTTTTTTTGAGATTTTATTTTTAAAATTAAGAATGTCACAAATTTTATGGAATTAATATTAAATTCAGGATTAAAATTCTGTATTGTCTCATTACTAAGTTTGGTTAAGTCTCAAAAATGTGGGAAGTGGATGGGCCCACCATAGGTTTTTTTGTAAATTCTACATTTGTAAATTTCGGTAAATTCTATAAAAACCAATAAAAACTCCTCATAACCCTCCGTCCCCCAATTTGACACCATAAATATCAAAAATCAATAAATGGATTTCAACATTTTTCAATAAAAATCCCCCATATGCTCACAAAAAGCACAAACACACACGAAAACATTCTCCTATGATAGATTTACTGTATAAATTTAGAAAGGCTTATATGTTCATTCTAGCATGATAAAATACCGAAATCAAACTTTCTTTCCATCTTTTTTAATATCAAAAAATTTGTTTTTTTGGCATTTTAAATGAAATGAAATGTAAAAATAAGTTGAAATGTCTTTTTCGATTCGAGACATGAAGAAATGAGAATGGGAAGTAAGAATGAGAATGAGGAACCCTTAAGAAGAGAAGAAAAAAAAACTAATAAAGTGAAAAACTTTCACATCATAAAATACAGCACACAAACTTGAATTTTACGACCACTTGCACACACGCAAAAGATGGGCTTTATTATTATTATTTTTATTAAAAAAAAGGAGAAAATGAATGAATGGAAATGAATCCCTGACATTAACGACATTCTCGATTCCATATAACGTGTTTTAATATGGCCATGGCAACTCTTTTTTATTATGTAGATATTGTACATACATCCATAATTTAAATTAAGTCAGTCTCACACAATTATTTATTACCTTAATCTAGAAATAGACATACACATTTCATTATAAAAGATACAATGTCTATGCATAGATTATAAAGCCCTGAATGCATATGCGTAACATAATACAATGTCATTAGGACGACACCCAGAACGGCCATTATTTTTATGCTTTATTTAGAGAGCTGTATGCGGTTGTACATCAGTGAGTGTCTCTTTCTCTTTTTTTTCTTAAGAATTATCCTTGAGGGATGCAATGGCATAAACAAGCATGCAACAGAAAAAATAACGATTTTTATAGTTTCTTTTTACGCCTCTATATGTGCATTGTGTCCATTGCATTGTACACGATAAATCATGAAATATAACAAAGAAGAAGAAATGTCAAAATATAGAATTAAATTTATTGTTGTTTGCCGTTGCATTTTTTAAGGCCAGAAAAAAGACAGGCAATAAAATCTATTGTGTTAATGTCTGCTTCAAAATGGATCTCATATCGCTCAGTCAAGTCCATGCGAACCACCAGAAAACCTTTATTTTTTATTTCTCATCCTCATTTTGCCATGTCTGTCGCTCTTCCCATGCTGATATGGATGGCGATGATGACATGTTACACATGCACACAAACATTTTCCAATGCTCGTCGTTTATGGCACCGACAAATATAAATAAAATAAAAAATATACATTTTCTTATTTACCGCAAAGACCGATCTATCGATTGCAATATGTTTTGGTTTTATGCTTGTTGTTTTATTTCTTTTTTTTTTACAAAATGTCGAAATGTTTTTTCGCTCTTTTGCCTTTTTTTTGCCGACTTTGGATGTGAAATATTGTGGCTTTAGATAAATGGAGGATACTTTGTCTATCAAACAGGTAGAAATAAATTTATGTGGCCAATAAAAAGCTGCAAACCCTTTTCATGTACAAAATATCCTCTTACTTACTTACTTCGCTGGCCGTACAGATCAAAATATCCTCATCAACATAAAATCTACATTAAAAGTCCAAAGAAAATGATTAAAAAAATATTTAAATGAAGGTTGGGGGTTGTGTGGAGATGATGTTTAGTTTAGAGATGGGATAGAGTCACTTAAAGGGGTCTTTGAATGGAAATTAGTATGGAAAAAGCTGTTGTTTGAAAGATGGACTCTGTTTTCTTAAGATTGACACTTATTGTCAATGCCAAGACTTAGGGTAAGCTTCCCATGTTAGATCAACATCCTAACATCATCTCTTGGTTAGAGCTTTTAATTCAGCAGACAGCATGTGACACTTTATGTAGAAAAAATGTAAATTTATCAGTTTCTGGACATAAAAAACCATTAATCTTAAAATAAACCAAAACATACGAATCTAATTTAATAGACGTAATTTACGATTGACCCCATCCAAAAAATACAACAAAAAAGATGCACAAACGAAGAAAAAAAACATAAAAAATCACCACCATAGCTTAATTATAAAAGAATTTATCTTAACTCGCCTATAATTTATTTAAATTACCTCACATTTCATCAAGAAGTCTCTCAGCTATATTATTTTTTTGTGAACTCCTAAATGTGCTCGATTGTGGCGAATAAAAATAAAATAAATGAAGATGATGCTAATAAATATTGAAAAAATGAGAGATGAGATGGAATGAGATTATAATAATTTTTTTATTTTTCGAGTATCTTTTGCCTTCACCAAGCATCATACATGAATATGAGATAATAACAATAACAATTTAAATAAAAGTCATTACCCGCGAAATATCGACTTATTTTAATTGCTTTTATGAATATCGATATGGTTATTGCCGTATGTATTCACAAAAGAGCAGCAATTTTGAATAGATTACACAAACAATTTTAGTTAAGTAGGAAAATGAGATTTTTTTTCCTCTTCTCTGCCTCGTCGTGTGCGAGATTTTTTTTTTGTTGAGAATAGAGGAAGTGGACAGTGTGGGAGCAGTTTGTCGACATGTTGGATCGGGTTTCTAGAAAATTGTCTGGTGACTATTTGCTGATTTTTAGATTAGTGTTGATTGATTTTTGGGTATGAAAATTGCTTGGGCTGGAGAGTGCCATAGAGTCATTTATGCTGTACTGAATGTGAGGGTCTTTAAGGCACAATCTTTAGCTTCGTATTTAGAGCTTGTTTCTCCCAGAAAAATTAAAATTCAACATTTTATGAGGCATGGTTTGGGGTTGCTTGGGATGAATGAATTAATTTTTCAATCTAGTCTAAAAAATTAAATGTTATATCCTTAATGTCAAAACAAATGCATCACCAGCTCAGTCATTATTCTTTTGTCAAAGCCATTAAATAATACAATTCCTTAACAGCCACAAAAATTCTCAATTATAATCATTTCTTTCAAAAAAGCGCCATATTCCCAACAACCTTAACTAGCCCACTTCTTAACTTACTCGCAATCCCGTCTCTCATATATTTCCAACTTTATAGCACCCAACAGACAACGCGCATCAGAAAAAAAATCTCAATAATATTCTATTCGAGTCTCAACTGACTAATACTCTTAAAAATTATGGATTATGAAGCTAAAAGAGACAGTCAGACAGCGGAAGAAAAAAAATAGAGGCAGCATTGTACTATTAATAGCTATCAATATATTGTGTAAACATAATGCTCTTAATAAGTGTATTTTATGTGCAAAGAAATTAGTTTGAGTTGCTATTTTTACATTTATGGAATTCAATATGGTGCCTTTATAGTAGAGCACACAGAAGTGAGTGAGGTTGGGGAGATCAATGTAATGTAATTAAGTATAGGCCTTTAATTTATATTAATCCAATTAAAGTGCTCAAATGCACTGTGAAACATTTAATGTAGTATATATTTCAATAATTTCTATCCCTTCTCGATGTTCATAACCATATGCTTCCTCTCTTTCTGCTCATTTAGCCTCATATTCATGCTGATGATGGGTCTTATCTCTTGTTCTTATTGGAATATATTAGTATCAAGGGGTGGTTTGTATGTTAGGTGATGTTGAAGATGGTTTTTATGGAACTAAGCGTGAATTGTCGCTTTGCTAGGTTTATGTTCCCTACACGTTCTCAAAGTATAGTCAGACGATAAGTCTGTCTTCTCTTAACATCCTTTTAA